TAATAAAAACACGGCATTATACCGCGCCACGATCACACAAATAAAACATGGAAATAGAAGCAGTTTTCGTAATTTTGTATACGGGACGTACGATATTAAAAATTGCACTCGAATCGATGCGAGCTATCTCTTTTGTGCCCCTTGTGCATCGTAAAACAAGAGCCGAACTTTAGACATTTACGCATGTATATTACATCGATCTTGGAGAGATAAAAGAGCAGCGCGAGAAATTCCCGGAGATATCCGATGCTTGTGCTTTAACGAGATATATGAGCTGTCATTTTCTTTTTTCTTTTTCTCTCCTTTTTCGAACGATGCGAGGAAATTTTTTTTACAATATCACCATTCGCGCTAGTATAATTGCGGACGGACCCACGATTTTGCATTTTTGTCGCATCGAGGCTTTCGACTTATCCCATTTTCAGAAGCACAAACGGCACGTAGACCAACGTGTACTTTCACGAGAAAGAGGGAGAAGGGGAGAGAGAGAGAGAGAGAGAGAGAGAGAGAGAGAGAGAGAGAGAGAGAGAGAGAGAGAGAGAGAGAGAGAGAGAGAGAGAGAGACAATGACCTCTCGCTGACATAGATTTTATACAGCGGGTAGATATCGTATTATCTATCCTACTTATCTGAAATATTCCCGGTGACTCGGTCCGATCGATACCGTAAACTGGGATTATGAAAAGTTAAAGAGTGCCATTGTGTCGGCACCTTTTAACACAATTGTACCCGATGTTCAGTAATGTTGCGCCGCGTACGCGTACCGTGCCGTACTTGGAAGGTTGGCTCGCGTGCCTTGATTATATAAAATTTATAAAGAATGGGGGGAAGTCCGAGAGCGCACGCGGTGAGATTATCGCAGTCTTGCGTCGTGTCTCACGTTCAGGATCTAATTGCTCGTCGCCGGCGGTGACACGTCCCTCTTCACGGGCCCTATGAATATTTTAAGCGGCTATTACGCCCGTAGAAATGTTATCGTTAAACCAATGGTAATTCGCGCGTTCTCCCGTTAATCCTGTATCGTTCTTTACCTCGCACGTACGCGATAAAGCGAAAAGTTACGACTCGGCCAGCCAGTGGGATATTAAAACGGGTTTTAATGAAACCCGTACGCTGAAGAGAGGAGAGATAGAGAGAGAGAGAGAGAGACAGAGAGAGAGGGGGGGGGAGGGGGGGAGGGACGTTAAGTATTTCTAACAATGATAAGCTCGCGTCGAAAAAATTTCGACGTTATTAAGCTGTTACTTCGGCGCGATCTGTCGACGTTATTTCCGGTAATTGAGGGAAATAGCGACGCACTAATTCGTCAATAGTCACGCCTTTCAATAAGAACGCAGGCCCAATGCCGTGGTGACGCTAATCGAAAGGATCCCGTAGCGGCGGGAACGTGATAAATCGTAATCGCGGCTTTGATTCTCAATCCGAGAGAAATAACAGGTCGATGTGGCGACGTCTTGATACATTCTTAACGTGTCCGCCGGTCAGAGTTTACACAAAGGATCGTAACGGAATTTTCGGAGGGCGGGTGAATAAGCGCTTTTCACGTGTTACGCCATCCGCCTCGGCGGGTGTAACATTTTCCGCGACGCTAACAATGGACACACGTGACCCCGGCGCCCGAGGATAACAATATGACGAGGCGGTGCGCGCGTTGCTTGCCTTGCCGGTCGGCTCACGGAAAATTGTAGATGAAGCACGATTATGTATTCCGATCGTACGCGATATCAGTCCGCCTCGCTTCCCGCCCGTGACGGAGTGTTCTCCACCCTCGACCCTTACTCTTTCACCCTCTTCTTTCCCTCCTCCTTCCACGGTCGGCCAGTCTCACACTCGACTCTCTATACCCGAGTTCTTTCCTCCCCGAAGGGGAGCGCGCTGTGCCGGGAAAAATTGTGCGAAAAATCTAGCGTTTGGTTCAAACGCGCGATTCTAAGATTTTGATCCGCTAATTGCGTCACGTGTGTGACGGCACGAGAACTCTCTCGGCCCGATAACGAATTCCGAAATCGAGCAAAATTCGCCAGGCCGCGAAATTAATAGACACGCCGCGAATGGTCACGCGCACCAATAATCGCGGGCTCCGTTTTACTCCAGGCCATAATATCAAAACGCAACCTTTTATCAGAGAGTGAGAGAGCGAGAGAGAAAGAGAGGGCTGGGGGGAGACGGGGAGAAAGCGAACGAGGGAGGACGCGTGCGTTTCGTCCGGTCGCAAGAGAAACAACGCGGCGGTCCGTGTATTTGTCTTCCGGGGAAAAAAATATTCGTAGCACCGCGAGTTTCGAAGTAAAAACCCTCTCGTCCGTGTTTGTCGCGTTCCGTTTCAATGCATCCTATTCCGACGATGTACACGACCCATCGGAGGCCAGGCGGCGCACTGTACTCTGTATTATTTTCGATGCGCGGCGTGCAACTCTCGACGCCGTCGAATCCCCCGCGTTATTTCCATTACTCGCGCTGCCGCTTATCCCGCTCGCAATCATCCCCTAATTATAACCGCCACCTCCTATAAAATCTCCACGTCAGAAGGGTTGAAAACGAACGATCGACCCCGGGGCTCTCTAGACCCCCGCGTTCTTGCCCATCCCTCCCTCCCTCGGAATTCCTGGGTTCGCCGGTGTTTACTTTGCGAATGGGGCAGGGCGGTGCCGTTCGTGGATGGAGAAGATCGCGGGGACTTGAATTATACAGCAGTGACGTCGGCGAAGATAATCACACGCCTCGCAACGGCCAGTTCATCATCGCGGTATCGCGCTCTAAATGAGGGGGTTGATGCATCGCGGAGGTGCACCCGCACGAACCAAGCCGGATGGAGAGCGGAATGTACGGAACGAGAAGGGCGAGCGAGGGACAAGGGCGACACGGGTCGGTCACCCTTTTCCGACTCTACCGAACCCAACGTCTCCGCCGGACGCGGTAGGAACTCTATTAGCAATGGAAAAATAGAGTAAAAGGCCTGACGGAGGAGAGCGGAGGAGAGATAGATATAGATGTCTATTTAAAAACACAGAGCTGTCCTCGTCGTATATTCACTGCAGGGAGAAAAATATTTCGTTGGATGGGACAATTTTCTCGTCAAGTATAAACGATTCCGGAATTCCATTTCAAATTATCAGAATTCAGTCTAAATTGTTGACATTTCTGATTAACTTAAACAGAATTCTGGCATTTCCAACTGGAATTTCCGAGTAGTTCATATCTCACCGGAAAATTTATTCATCCAACTAAAACGTTCTCCGTGTTAATTTTTAAGCGTTGGATAAATACCGATCCGGCGTTTTGTCAAATATCTGACGAAAGTGTCTGCGTTTTTTTCTTGCCGACATTCAAATCGATAGTTTTCTACAAGTTAGGATTTGATAAAAAAAAAAAAAGTCTTTCCCGAGTCGAAATATTAATTCTACATTAATCCTGCAAATTGCATCCAATTTGAAAAATCAATGCAGAATCTCGATGCGCAATAGTGAACAAGCTTTGTCCTACCTGAACGTTACATCTGGCTACTCTCGCAGTCTCGCCCATGATTGAGTCTTCAACAGCGACGTATTCCGCAGTTATTTAATACTCGTTTATCTCGATAATGTATATGTACTTAATCCTTATATTCTTAATTGAAATGAGCAATTTTTGTTGACGTTGATTATATATTCGCTTCACAGCGCAAGAAAGAGAGCAAAGAGAGAAACGTAAATAGAACTGCCTTTGTTAGAACTGCGCGTGAGATAAATATATAAGGATTAAATAATCATATAAGAATTAGAGGAAATGGATATGAAAAATAACACATTTTATTCTCATCATTCTTAAAGTTCTCTTTTCCTTTTTTCTCTTTTCTTTTTTTCTTTTCTTTTTTCTAATGAGAATGATGAGAATTGTAGCTCTCAAAAGAGCTGAAGCTGCAAAGACAAAGACAACGGTTACGTCTAATAATGCTGTTTCACCAATAGAGATTTTAATTCAGATTCGGTACAATAAGAAAGATAACCAAGAATGAGAAACGGACATTAGCAGATTCTAAACGAAAACAGCAGTCTGAGCATTATTAGACGAATAAAAATCAACACTTGCAAAATTCATATCAGATTCTAAGGTCATTATTCATAGTTTTCTAAATTATGTGCAATTTTTTATTGAGAATATAATTACAGATTTGTATTCACAAACCATTATTCGCTTGCTTGAGCAGACATTCATATTTTATGAGAAAACAAAAGTAGAACTCATGTTACGTGAAATTAGGTCAACGAATAATCAAATCTCAAGCTATTTTATCATTCTTCAGATGACAAACTATGAATGCTGATCTAATTTCGACTCGGGTATGTCCTTACTTCGAGTAAGGTCCGTTAAAATCAGAAAAATCCTGCGTAAATAAATGACTCAAGGTACCTCGAATACCATACATGATGTATCTGTCCACGTCTCTCGGCGCACTCCAAGTCCTCTCCATCCTGACTTCTCGATCCGATGTCCTCCTTCTGGTTACTCCGTCGCAGCACTCCGGATGCTCCATCGTAGCACTGGCGATGACACTGATACTAGAGCACTAACACTCGCGCAAGTAAGATTCGGAGACAAAGAAACGCGTATTAACCGACACTCGTACTACTCTGCGTCGCGGTATGCGCGTCGTTCGTCGGCCCGAGGCGCAACGTCCTTTCCGCAATCACGGAGTTATATATAAGCGTACGAAACCAAACAATCGGGAAGGCACGGTTACCCCCCACCAGTCGCCGACCTTGCCGATCAGTGTTGATGCCTGCGTTAGCTGAAAATAAAAACAACTCGTGTTTTCAAAGCATACCTGCGAGAAACTCGCTTCAAACTTCACAATACTTATTTACGTCTGTTCCAAGAATCCAAGAATCATATTACGCCGAATTCAAACTGTCTCTATTGACATGACATACGCGAGATCTGCGATCGCATCATTGATCTTTCTTTCGACAAGAAAATCCTGAGAGGAACGCTGTTCGAGAATATCGCATTTTATGTTTCAGGTGCCTTGCAGATTACCGAATCCGATGTAACAGATCAGGGAAAGTATGAATGCGTCGCTAATAACACCGTGGGCACGGAGTACTCCAAGTCAATCACGTTATATGTGAAACGTACGTATATTTGATTATTATTATTAACATCCACACGCGCGGGTCGAGACGTGCAAGTGCACATTTATTTTCTAGCTTAATTAACGAGTACACAGTCTCAGTGTTCTCGCAAGAGAGAAAATGTAATTTACGTTGTATCTTATTAGACGCACCGTTGGAAAAACAAAAGAATACGGGCGGGGGGCGGGGGGAGGGGACACATCCGAAGAAAAGTTAGCGGCTTTTTGAAACGCCGCAAAGGGAACAACGTGTTTGTAGATGAAATAACGAATGCGGCGCACACTCGTCGCTCGCGCACAGAGCCACGTCAATGCCGTAAACGTAGGCGTTTTCCTGCTCGTAATTAAAATTAATGTAACGCAATTAGGACGTAATTAAACTAAACGGGCGGCACAAAGGACTCGCGCGACTCACGTCGCGCACGTTACACCGTCGACACTTGTCGTTTCTTGCGTTCTCGCGGCAAGATCTCGAATGTCGACTGCTCGCATTTGCGATTTAATCGCCGTGACCGCGATTTGCTAAATCCCCAGGTCCCCTTTGAAACGATCGAGCGTCGAGTTTTGCCGCACTCGGCGAGTTTTCGCGCACGGCGCGCGCCAGTTAATTTACGATCGTAAAACGTACGTACGTGCGTGCATAATTATTCCCTAATTGGACGCGCCGTTACGCGTATTTGCATTTCGATTTAATGTTATTCGTAAATAAACAAACGCGGTCACACGGGCTCAATCATAACGTAATGTAACTCACTCACTGCGAACAATCATAATATATATATATATATATATATATTATAGGGAATATATCGTGGACGCGCGCGAGACGCGACTTGTGCATCGGGATGCAACAAATCACGCTGCGTTCCTTTTATAATCTGCCTGCTCGAATCAGGCTGTATCTTCAAAGGAAATATAAACGACCGCCGGCTTTTCGCCGAAAGATACATTGCCCGATCTCATTCCAAGTATCTTTGTAGCGATAGCTCCGTCAAAATATACGTCTGACCAAACACGATGAAAACTCCTCAGAACGACGCGTTTCACCGACCTTCTCGATCCCTCCGCCGCTGCTAACCGAGGTGATGATGGGCGCATCGCTGAATCTCACGTGCGTCGCGGTGGGTGCACCGATGCCCTTCGTCAAATGGAGAAAGGACCCCGCGACCGACTTAACGCCGGACGACAACCTACCGGTCGGCAAAAACGTCCTGGTGCTGAACGACATCCAAGAGTCTGCGAATTACACGTGCACGGCCGCCAGCGACCTCGGCATAATCGATGCCGCGGCGATGGTGAAGGTTCAATGTTCGTATCGAGCACATCGATTCCACTACAGATAGATCGCCCCCCCCCCCATCCTGCTCCTTGCTGCTTTTACGTTTCCGGTTACATTAGCGCGGATCACGTGATGCGCGCCAATTAATCGCGCGTTGCATTCTGGTCCGTTTCTGGCTTTCGCCGGAAAGCCAATCGATCCGCTAAGACCTTGTAGCACGATAGTAACTATTTACGTACCGCGGAGCACACGCTCTCGACTGTGACAAACTCGGCCGCACGTGTGTCATTATTTTTAACGCTAAGACGCACACTACTTGATCCTACTTGATCAACGAAGATCGTGCATACAGACCAGCGATATTGACGTCTCAGCTGCGAAAATAAAGCTGTACTGATCACCCCTCGCAGCTCTTCCCGGACCGCCGGAGAACGTTCAAGTGTCAGACATCACGGCGACGTCGGTGAAGCTGAGCTGGTCGTACAAAGGACCGGATGAGCTGCAGTACTACGTAATTCAGCATAAACCGAAGCACGTGAACCAGGCATTCGCCGAGATATCCGGTATCACGACTATGTATTATCATGTTAGGAGTCTCAGCCCGTACACGGAGTACGAGCTCTATGTGATAGCCGTGAATAGCATCGGGCGTGGTCCCCCAAGTGCCCCGGTGATAGTCACCACTGGTGAAACAAGTCAGTACCCCACACTATTTTCTATCGCTCTGTAGCCTCTAGTCGCGCATACATTAGCGTCATCACGCTGGGAAACGATCATTTTCCCCCCTCGGGTCCCGGGATTATGCAACGCGCCTGAATTCTCGGAGCGGGAAGTTTCGTAAAACGCGAAATCTCGGTATACACGTACACGTTGATATACGTCGGCAACGTCATTAACGTACATCACGTGTATAACGCTGCGACGAAATTGGAAGTAAATTCGTCACCCGAACGGAAACTCACTGTCGGCGCCTCTACGCTTCGGGCGGAAAAAAAAAAACCGCACGGGGGGAAATGTCGTTTCCACAGAGATGTCTCTGAGATTTCATCAATGTACTTCTCTCGCCAGTTTCGTCGCCTCTTACTCATCGTATATAATCAAACTCAACCTGCTCTAATAACATCTGTCGAGTCAATCAATCACGACGGTATCTTCATATATACTGAGTGATCCGAAATTCTCGCATTCGGAGTACAGGATATGATACTTTATGCTGAAACAAACAACTTTTTCCTTTAGCGAAATTGCGTCCGACAAGTAGTTTTTGCAGGAGAGCGTGTTAAATTTAACGAATAAGCGCTCTTGTCTATGTAGCGCTCAGGACCGACGCGCGCGTCTCACTCGCGTGTACCTAGTCCGTGATTAGTAATGATAAATAGTGTCTTTTAAGACGCTCATACGGTTCTGTTGTGATTAGTTTACGACATTTTAAGACTGTGCTTAAGACAATTGTAAATAATAAGAATCGATTATGAACAATACCGGGATTTGACCTGCTGTTGTATTTGTATTGCTCAAATAATGAAAAGTTAATAAAATAAGTACTGCCTTTATTTCTTACGTAATAAATGAATAAAATATTGCCTGGTTACACAAAGTTATCTGAAAATAAAGACAAATGTAAATAGTAGTATGTTTTGCGAGTTGTGAGCGTTCTATTATTTCAAATATTGCACAATTACGTGATAATTAAATAGTATCATTAAACTTAAAGATTAATTTACTGATCAAGCGTATACATAGGAGTATACATATTTGTAAGAGTGATTAAGAGTAAAATATTTGAATTAACGTCTTTTAAGAGTTCTCTTTTAATTTTTTTATAATAGAAAATACAAGGAACTTATTTAAAATTCAAATTGTGTGATATACTCACGTCACGGTCTACATTTATTTATTATTGCTTATGCACGTTAGCCTTTCGATACTTTCCTTACATGTTTCGATTATTGCGAGGAATATTGCTATAGCCTCAATGGTCAAGTTGATTAAGAAAATAAATCATCACAACTAATCACAACAGAACCGTATGAGCGTCTTAAAAGACACTACTTATGATTACTAATCACGGACTAGGTGAGTGAGGCGCGCGCGCCGGCCCTGAGCGCTATACATAGACAAGAGCGCTTATTCGTTAAATTTAACACGCTCTCCTGCAAAAACTACTTGTCGGACGCAATTTTGCTAAAGGAAAAAGTTGTTTGTTTCAGCATAAAGTATCATGTCCTGTACTCCGAATGCAGGAATTTCGGATCGTCCAGTATACATACACATACACGCACGCACACGCATACATGCACACAGTGACTTTATCAGACATCTGTCTACGATATGTCTACGATAAAGTAATCCCACTGACGAATAACTCACGTTCCATTTTCACGCCTCATAACGAGCATTGCATAACGCGCGTCGCAGTGAGTTTATTCCGCCGGTTAAAACGCGAGATGCACTCTTCGACCCGATGACCTTTTTTTCGCGCGCGCACCCGTGGTCCCTATGTACATTCGCGCGGGAGAGGCCGCGGGGGAACGATAATGAAAAGGAGTGGAGGAACGGCACTACTCCGACATGAGCGTGATTTTTGCACGTAGATAGAATTTTTGTACATCACCCGTAAAAAAAGAGGAGCGAATTTTTACGCACATTTTTTGAGGGAAATTCTGTACTTTTTTCCATGCTGTCCGCCGTGGACGCACGATTTGATCCATGTAAGTGACAAGAAAATTTTTTTCACCTACCACCAACCCCCTTTGCTCTTTGTTGCACCAATGTGTTATAGTGTTTTTTGCGGGGCCGTTCCAGCGCGTCGCGCTTCGACGTCTCGTGTCATTGTGTATTTTTTCGCCTCTATATCCTCAGCCTCTCTCTCTCTCTCTCTCTCTCTCTCTCTCTCTCTCTCTCTCTCTCTCTCTCTCTCTCTCTCTCTCTCTCTCTCTCCCCCTCCCCCCTCCTCTCTCTCTCTCTCTCTCTCTCTCTCTCTCTCTTTGTCTGTCTTTCTATCTATCTCTTCATAACCGTATCTTTCTCCGTCACAACGTCTCCCCGTCTCCTTTTTGCAAAAGAGGAGACGAGAAACGAGTACGCGGGGAGAGACAGCACGCGAAATTGCACCTTTCCTACAAATATAGTAGCACACTTCTCACCCCGTGGAAATACGAAGGAGGCGGTTGAAGCGCTCGCTCGCGCAGTTCGTATTTTCACCCCCGCACTTACGCCCACTTACCCACTGAGAATTGTCAATAATCATTTGACGTTTTCTTTTTTTTTTCTCGATAGCGGAATCGACGAATGGAGGTGCCAGTAAGTGAAATTATAATACTAAGTGTGCCGTAGTGATATCATCCGCCGCGCCCCTTTGCCTGTTCGTGTTCCCGTTCTAGTTCTTCATTTCCTCCGATATCCCGTTGTACCGTTGTTATTGTTCACTCGCGCAAGTGATTATCATTTTACTGACGCACGCGCTCACACTCTATTGTCCTTGAGACGCACATATCAACACGTATATCTCCGTGGGAATATCCCTCAAGTAGTTAATCATGCGCGGTATGGAACCGCTTGAACGGTGTGTTTGTCGATCATTGCCGCAGTTAACGTTGTGTTACATACTAGGAAGATTGCAGGAGTGACTACCGAATTTTGTTCTCCGTCTCTTCTTCCTACCCTCCCTGCCTCTCTACCCTTTGGTTGCACGCGTTCCTTGGTTCTCATGGTTTCCCGAGGGTTTTTCTTTTCTTCTGCCTCATTGCGATGACTAGTGGGTGTTTATTATTATCGTCATTTCTCGTGTGTACAATTTTAACCGGTCACTCGCTTATCCCTGTGCAATAACAGCGCGCGCACCTCTTTTCCTCAGAACCCGGTACAGCGCCGCGGAAAGTTCAGGTACGGCCACTGAGCTCCAGCACGATGGTCATACAGTGGGACGAACCGGAAACTCCGAATGGCCAAGTGACGGTCGGTAGCTCTCTTCCGAATTCTCGAAGGTCCCCGCGGTTCTCGAAGCGCTCCTTTCGCTAATTTTCGTCGTTCGTGTCGTCGCGCAGGGATACAAAGTGTACTACACGACCGACTCGAATCAACCGATGGCGTCGTGGCAGTACCAGATGGTGGATAACAGCCAGCTGACGACGATCTCAGAGCTGACCCCGCACACCATCTACACCATCAGAGTCCAGGCGCTGACCAGCGTCGGTCCCGGACCGCTCAGTCTACCGGTGCAAATCAAAACGCAGCAAGGGGTACCGAGTCAGCCCGAAATGTTAACGGCGGTCGACATCGGGGAGACCAAAGTAACGCTCCAATGGAGCAAGCCCGCTCATAGCGCTGAGAACATTCTCAGTTATGAGCTGTATTGGAACGACACTTACGCCAAGGTAGACTACCCACCTCTTCCTGTCTCTCTCCTCACTCTTTTCTCACTCATCCCCTTCCCGGATGTGGCGTTAACGCGCTCGCGCTCACTTCACGTGGGCACATAACGAGCAACGTTTTTTTTTCTTTTCCTAATCGTCCGGATACCGGAGGGACTGAAAAGTCAAGAGATACAATTTTCGGATCCTCGTGAGCAGTGTTGGAAGGAACGATCAAAAGAGTCATTCGTGATTAACCACAGCGTTTCTCTTGATTAGGAGAAGCACCATCGCAGGATACCGGTCACCGAGAACTACACTCTGACCGGCTTGTATCCCAACACCTTGTACTACGTGTGGCTGGCAGCGAGGAGTCAGAGAGGGGAGGGTGCCACGACGATACCGTATCCGGTTCGCACCAAACAGTACGGTAAGCAGAACGTACAGAGCGCAAGAAACGAAATCGAGTGAGTTCACGCAGCGAGGAGTGCCAGACGCATGCCGATCCGTGATTGTCGGCGGCCGCGACAGGGTGGCCGACTGCCTCGACATTCCGTCGCGAATGATAATTCGCGGTGGGGTGACGCGACCCGGGTCCTACGCGAACCGACGATCATGCATCGCGATGGCACAGCAGGTAGGAGGTGGTGTAGCGCTAGACGCTCCTGCAAGTAGCGTAAGCTATCGACGCACAACACCTTGAAAAGAAAAAGAAAAAAAGAGAGAGCCATAAGAAGGACCTTACGTCCGGAGTACGCGTTCAATATATATAGAGAGATAAAGGAAAAGAGAGAGCGTATTCTCGTAAAGAAACGGAAAAGACGGGAAGATAGAGAATTAACGTCGAAACGTGAAGTGTGGGAGAGTGAGAATGACTGCATGCGTTGCAAATAAGAAAGCCGTTTTTGGATGCCACTTTATATATATATATATCTATATATATACGTATATATCATACATATAAATTGCACTAAGCACTGCATTGATATATGTGTGCATTTTGGGCACCTCTTTTCATTCTCGATAATATATGATTTACGTCCGTTCTTCAGTTTTTCGTTGTCTCGTTCCCTTGCAATTATAAACGTACTCGTTAACTCAGTGCGTCGCGCATCGAGTTAACGCGAGCCGCTCCGGACGAACCTGTCTCTAATCACGTCTTTTTTCGACTGTTCAAGGATCGATTCATGACTTTTTTACCTTGAGTACTTTTACACCTCTCTGAACCTTGACCGATCGTCACGTATACTTTCGTTGCTATCCCACGACAGTCACCGTCGACTGTGCGCACGTGTCTCAGCGTTGAGGTTGTCAAAACCAAGAATACGAAAATACGTCGATTGACTCCGCCTCGTTCATTGCGCTAACTGACCGTTCCGTCATTCACTTCCGTATTCACTTCGCGTATTCTCACGGCCGTTGGCCGTTGCCGCGCGAACGATCGCGTTACTCCGGCGTGAAATTCGCGGAGCGTCCATTGCGACGAGAGACGAGGTACATCCGTCGCACATCCGTCGAGAAGATCTCGACGGGTCTCAAGTTCGCTCGAAAGTATTAAAACCTGTGATTCTTATGTTATAACATTGACCGATAGGATGGATCGTTGATGGTTTGACGAGAAAAAAAAAAGATTCCGCACGGCCTCGATGGTATTTTCGCGATCGGCGAGACTCTCTCTTCGTACCCTCGGCTTTGAGCCTCAAGCAAGAGTCCGGTACGATCGGCTGGTAACTGCCGATTACACCCCCGCCCCGATTTTGTTTTTTTCCCCCTCCTACAACTGAATGTTATACAGTCCCCGGGGCTCCGCCTCGCAATGTAACCGGCCAAGCGATCAGCCCAACGTCCATATTGGTAACGTGGGAGCCGCCGGCCGCTGAACGTTCCAACGGGAGGATCACCTACTACAGACTGCAAGTCGTCGAGAGCGGTCGCTCCGACTCCGAGGCGAAGATTATCAAACTGAATGACACGCGTTTCGTATTGGACGAGCTCAAAAAGTGGACCGAGTATCGGATCTGGGTATTGGCCGGGACCAGAGTAGGTGACGGGCCCCCGAGTTATCCTATCTCGGTCAGAACTCACGAGGACGGTATGTATCACAGACACTGACTGAAAGTCTCTCTGTTTATCTGAGGCACGCGAGGAATAACGTGTAAAATCCGTGGTGACGCGCAGCGTCAGGGCGTTGACGCGGCAGCGTTCTCCAAGAACTGCCACGAGCGCACACACTCGAGTTGAGACCGAATGAGAGATTACGCGTGTAATTCCGACGGACTCGAGATACGAATCGGACGAAATTTCGACGTTCGAGCTACATCGGACGAAGATCCCCAGGTCGCGCACAACGAGCGACAACGAGCGCAAACCCGAACGCCGGTCGCTACGAATTTCACACGCTAACCTTCGCGCGAGAGAAATATTATTGGGATGAAGTAATAACGCGCCTCATCCGAGAGCCAAAAATATAAAAGCCCGCCAAAAGTCAGTCCGGTTATGTTACGCGCGGTTCCAGTGCGGGTTGCAACGACACGCCGTGTCATTCTTGATCTGGTGAATGCATTACGTATATGATACATTGTTATATACATACTTTCGATTTCAGATTCCGTTAACGTCACTTCGATCTGTCTCTCTCTCTCTCTCTCTCTCTCTCTCTCTCTCTCTCTCTCTCTCTCTCTCTCTCTCTCTCTCTCTCTCTCTCTCTCTCTCTCTCTCTCTCTTCTTCTCCTTCTTCTATCTCTCTCTTTCCTCTCTCTCTCTCTCTCTCTCTCTTCTTCTCCTTCTTCTATCTCTCTCTTTCCTCTCTCTCTCTCTCTCTCTTCTTCTCCTTCTTCTATCTCTCTCTTTCCTCTCTCTCTCTCTCTCTCTCTCTCTCTCTCTCTCTCTCTCTCTCTCTCTCTCTCTCTCTCTCTCTCGCTCTTTCTCTCTGTCTCTCTCTTTCTCTCTCTCTCTCTCTCTCTCTGTCTCTCTCTCTCTCTCTATCTCTCTCTCTCTGTGTCTCTTTTTCCCATCTCTGAAACCAAATTACTCTCGCTCCTTCATCACGACTTTCTGTTCTGTGTTTTTCTGTCTCGTCTAATCTTTTTTCTCCAATGATTCTACACTCACGTTATCTTACATTGCATTTGTGTTACATTCTGTTAAATTACATTATGTACAATAATATATATATATATATTAAACTGTATTATATTATATATATATGAGCTTTCCTCCTTCTCACGCCACTCTTGTGTTTTACAGTTATACTTTCGAGAAACGAACTGTCGAATCGCCCTCGTCGTGACGAGAGAGGAAAAGAGGACGGACACGGCCCTTTTTTCCGGTCGGTCGGATTACCTCCTCTGTACTTTTTTTTTTTGCGCGAACAAAAGTTTTGAGCGCGCACGACTTTTTGGATTTTTCGTGCCTCTCCAATCACGTTCTACTCCGATCGCTTTCCTATCGTTCTTTTCGCAACCTCCTTCACTCCTCTGAGCCCTCCGTCCGATTTTTACGAAGCGGCACTCACGCGGCGCGAAAAAAAAACACGAAACGATGATGGCCCTACTTTTTTGGCTGGCGAGATTTTATATTTTTGGATTTTTTGCGGCAAGAACATCTCCAACGACTTATTCTCTAGCTCCCCGTATACCTCCCGAAAAAAAAAAAAAAAAGAAAAAGAAAAAAAGAACAACTCCAACCCCCAACCCCCTCTTTTAGTGTGCCCACGATATTTTTTCCAGGTTCACGCAGCCACGGATTTTTCAGAAGCTGATAACCGATTTTTGAGCTCAGCTATTAAAGAGAAATATTAAAGAAAGAAACGAATTTTCTTACCGTTTTTTTACAGGGCCTAATCGCAACTCTCTCTCTCTTTGTTCGTTGCCGTTGGTTTTTTTCACCCCAGCCCCACTTTTAAAACTTGGATATCTCTATTTTGACACGCTAATTAATTACCTATAATTATACTCACTCACGTGTTTTTGTCTTCCCTTAAAGCATTTGCAGGAGGATGATCCAGGTTTTGAACAGCTAGTTTTTAAGATCTATTCACACTATCGTAATATATCAACTACCTAATAATATGTACTCATTACACTCAGTGTTCTTTCTGGTGGTTACCGTGGTTACGTCAGTAAAGATGTTTCGTTTCTCTCCTTTAGTTCATTGACTCACTCTTGCCACGTGTTATGAAGATAGAAGTCAGGCTGGCTGTCCTGCGTGCCATTATTTCCGTTCCCATCAGATCGCGTCTTATCGTAACTACCACCACTATGTGTGTGTGTGTGTGTGTGCGTTTGCGTGTGTATATTCCTCGTGTAAATTATAATAACAAGCAGGTGACGCGCTACGGTATTAGATAACGTTGACTCGTTTGAAGCGCGTGTCACACACACGAAAATAATGGCAAAGCGAGGGACAGCTTGCGAGTGAAGCGCTTACGTATATATATATATAAAAACTCTAGCGAATGTTATCTCACACACAAAAAGATATATATATATACATATATATGTATATATGTATATATATGACGCACTTTTTCACTATATATATATTACACATATATATATTTCTATATCTCTGATATATAAGGCTCTTCTGTCTTTAGTTGAGATTTAGTTCTACCTATCGTTTGCACATGTTTAGAGCATGCCTTCGTTTGTTTAAAAATTCCTCCACCACCTTGCCCTCTCCTCCTCCACCTGTCTCCGCCTAATTCCGGAAATTCATGTGAAATTCTTTCCCCCGTCTCACGAAAACGGAAGAAAGCCCGAGAACACGTCCGCGTCCTATCCTCCCAACGATCCCTCATCCTATCCGTCTCCACACCACCAAGATATCCGCCGAACTGTGCCGAGTCTGCAAAACCACGCTCCCTGACACGAATACGTTCACATTATACCATCCATCCTATGAATGGCATGCCGATGCATGAGACAGTTTTGCTTTTCTGTTACTTTCCCGTCCCCGAACCCGTTCTTGCCCGAGCAGCCCGTGCCAAGGGCTGCCGCGGTCGAGCCCGCATGTCGAACGTTTTTCGTCCTTCGCCCAACGACCAAACAACGTCCACACCACCCATAACATGCCCCCTTCTCTTCTGCCCCTTCTGCGGTCCCCGTAACGAACGAACCGACGAATTCGGCACACCGAGAGGAAAAATTGTTTGCACGATATTTATACGCATAGTCGTTGAAAAAATAAATCTCCAGCCGGTCGTTAGCCGCGGTATTTTCCCTGGGATCATTTTAATCGTAACTTCCCTCTCGGTGCGGAGGCGACGCGCGGTACGACCCGGTCGTTAAAAGTTTCGCAACGCGCGAGTAAGTAGAAACAACGAATCGCGAGATTGAAAAAAAGAAATATACACACACACACGTGTGTGTGTGTGTGTGTGTGTGTGTGTACATATAATTTAACGAAAAAGCGGAAAGCTGCGACGGATTCGCAGCGAGCGGGGGCGGGCAAAGGCGAAGGCGCAGCACAGTAAGAAAAAGAAAAAGAGAAGAAGAAGGCGGAAGAAAGGAAATAAAACATTTGTAACGAGTCGTGGCCGTTTATCTCGCGCAGACTACGGAGATATTCGTTAGATACGCGTTAAAAGTGCGATTCGTCGCGCGGGTATTGTGTCGTCACGATTGTTGAACGAAAAGTCGTACCGACGCGTCCGTAACGATCTACCCTTACGCCCCTCTCTCTCTCTCTCTCTCTCTCTCTCTTTCTCTCTCTCTGTCTCTCTGTCTGTCTCTCTCTCTCTCTCTGTCCCTCCCGCCACTATGGAACCTCGCCCGGATCCTCTTTCGTTTCTCCGCCCGCCCGGCTGCACCCTCTCGCCTCTCGCCACCACGTCGCTCCGACCACCCTATTCCCGGCATTGTCCCGTTCACGGAGCGACTGATCCAGTGCCCGTCCGGTACCCTCTTGAAGCAGACTCGGCAGAGCGAAGCGAAACGATAAAAAGCACTGCTGAAAGCACCCTGCCGTGTAAGCTCGCACATTGTCAAGCACAAAAATTCACCGTCGTGTATAGCATACATATACGTATCTTCTACGCATACGTATTTGCGTATTATGACTGTCGTATCGTTCACTATTTACCGAGATATCACCGGCTGCGAATGGGCATATAGTATATATACATATACTGTCTCACCGTCACGCACGTGTGTGTGTGTGCGTGTGTGTGTGTGTTTGTGTGTGTGTGTGTGTGTGTGTATGTGTGAGAGCACAGGCACCCGCACTAAAGTCGCGTACGACTCGGCAGCACAACGTGTGTTCACTCTCGTACTTTTCGCACCCACCACGCACGCATACACGCACTTCGGCGAGTCGCGCGCGCGCGCGCGCGTGCGCGCGGTGTCGGCGCGAGCGCACGAGCGCACGAGCGCACGCACAGTTCGTTCGTTCGTTCGTTCGTTCGTTCGTCCTTCGTCGTCCGCTCGCTCGTTCGCTCGCTCGCCCGTGCGATGTCGAACGTAGTCTCGTCTCGCATCCCTTCTGTGCACCGATTCTCGAGAGCACCCGCTTTGCGATCAATTCGGCTGCGAGGGCACACGCGTGCACGCATTCACGTAGAACACGGATGCGCGCGGGTGTATGCGTAAACACGTAGAGGCGTTTACGAGGCTCACACTCCGCGTGCGTGAGAGAGAGAGCACCGTGCACAGCAGCAGCTACACACGTCTGAATAAATATTGTTATAGACGAGATGCGATATATATATATATAACTCTCTATATGTCTATATATATCGCGCGAGCGCGCCGAGCACCAGCACTGAAAGCACCCACGAAAAGCACCCCCACTGTCGACTGACTG